AGAGAGATTCGTTGGGCTCGATTGCCGCAACTTGGGTGGTGGCCGATTGGCGAGCCACCGCGTGCCTCACCCATCGCTGAAGCCTCGACCGGCCTGAGCGCTTGCGCTGGCGGGAGACCGGGAGGGTGGACGATGGAGGAACCGACCGATACTGGGTCGATGGTTGCCGCAGCAGAACGCCGCGGATACATGCGTGAAAATGCGTCGCACCGCGGACGGGGAGCGCATCTACGTCGAGTGGAGCCTCCTGGAGCCATGCGGAGTCGTCGGCGATGAAGGTGAGAGTACCGAGACGGATCTCTTGACCCTCGACCAAAACTCCAGCAGACACCATGATGAAAGTACTCGGAAGAATCGCAACTTCTCCACAAAATCGCTAAAACACCAGCCCCACGGTGGGCGCCAAATGTCGTGGTTCTAAGTCTGACAGTAGAGTGGGGGTAGGTATGGAGAGGCAAGGTCCTAGCTATGGAGAGGTTGTAAACACAAGGGATGTACGAGTTCAGGCCCTTCTCGGAAGAAGTAATAGCCCTACGTCTCGGAGCCCGGAGGCGGTCGAGTGAGTTATGAGTATATGAGCTACAAGATGCCCAACCCCTCTGCCTGTGGAGGGGGGTGGCTTATATAGAGTGCGCCAGGACCCCAGCCACCCCACGTAGGAGAGGGTTTAAGGTGAGTTAAGTCTGGGGTGTTACTGGTAACGCCCCACATAAAGTGCCTTTACTATCATAAAGTCTACTTGATTACAGGCCGTTGCAGTGCAGAGTGCCTCTTGACTTTCCGGTGGTCGAGTGAGTCTTCGTGGTCGAGTCCTTCAAGTCAGTCGAGTGTGTTCCTCGTTGGTCGACTGGAAGGTGACTTCTTCTAAGGGTGTCCTTGGGTAAGGTACTTGGATCAGGTCCATGACCCTACCCTAGGTACATAACCCCATCAAGAAGCGCGAGTACACCAAAACCCTCATAGAGGTTGAGCTCCATGGCAAGGAGACGCTGGAGATCGTCTGCACTAGCGAACCAAACAAGGCCGACGAGGTGATCTCCAGGCTCTGGAGGAAGGCTGGCGGCATGGTTCGTAGGATCGTCGGCGTTGGTGTGCACTACATCAACGGAGATGAACCTGCCCAGATGGCAGCAGTCCTGTAGTTGTGCGTCGACGATCTCTGCTTGGTGTACCACATCGCAGCGGCCACAAAATGGTGAGCCATCCTACTCATTTGCCCTGTTTTGGTTTATCTGTTTTATTAGTACTGTATCCTGAAAATTTCATCAGACTTGTTTCCCAACTAGATGTACTAGTGTGGCTTGTGAAAAGTGGATGCACTACTGCATTTTCTCAAGTAGATACACTATAAAATGTATTTTTGAACCTGATGCATCGGATTACTATTTGGAAAATCTTGCGGAAGATTAATTTCTAAAGTTGACTGACTAGTCTAGTTTCTGAACTTGATCCAATAGTGTAGTTTATGTACTCAATATATTAAAAAGATGTTTCCGAACTTGATGTAGTGAAGTATTTTCTGAATTTGGTCTAATGCTATTCTCATAAGAACAAAAACTAAGGACTTGGTGAAGCACTGTTTATGTGTTATCCTATTCAACAGAAGTAAACTAAACTAGTACCAAAGCAGAACATACAACATTGACTGAAACTATGTATAATCCAAAAAAGAAGAATAACATGGTGTACTTAATTTAATTTCAGAACTTTGTTTACTAGTTTATGAAGTACATTCATCCATTATTTATGCTACATAAACATATACTTAAATGGATTCATCGCTTGTAAGACAAAACAAAAATGAATAATTCAAACATCAAAAGTAATGCTGATTTTCAAAAATGTCTCTCCCCTTGCAGGCCCAAGCGCCTGAACGAGTTGCTGCAGCATAAGAAGTTGTTCACATTTGCCGGTTTCAGCATTCAAAGCGACAAAGAGAAGCTAAAGTTGTCCGGTTTGGAGATCAACCCCAACAAGTTCATCGACATTCAGCGCAAGTGGAGAGTACCATACACCGGAAAAGAGTACGACTCCTTGACTGATGTTGCAGCCAGCGTCATCCATCCATTCTACAAAGGCATGAAGAATAACATCAACACGCAGGAAGAATACAAACTGTGGGGGACCAGCCCACTGCCAGACAACCTCATCGAGTACGCAGGAGTGGATGCATACGCCACGTACAAGGCATGGAGAATGATCGACTACATCACAGATGGTTCGGAAATTGCAAAATATTGGGAGGCTGAGAATTACTACGACCAACCCTATTGCCCCTATGCGGGATGAAGATACATCAGAGCCTGCCTTCATTTTACTTTCGCTTGTGCTTGCCTTTTATCTTGTTGTTTCAAATTAGTAGTTTGCTCTTGTTGGGTTGAACTAGTATGATATGTCGTGCTTGTCAGTTTCTTTCTTTTTTTGTTTGTTTGAATCTAGTACTTGACTCCAGCAGTAACTTGGACTGAAACTTTTTGTTCTAGTTCTTGTCAGTTTTGTGTAAGTGTAATTTTAAGATGTACTCACGTTTAGACTAAGTTGTACTGATAGTCCATTCATAGCAGCTCTTACGTACTGATGCTTCTATGTACTTTTTATTGTAATAAGTATGTACTGTCCGATCAAGTGTACTAGTACTGTGATTCTTAATCTGCAAGCGACAAATAGATACATCAGAGCCTGCCTTCGTTTTACTTTCGCTTGTGCTTGCCTTTTATCTTGTTGTTTCAAATTAGTAGTTTGCTCTTGTTGGGTTGAACCAGTATGATTATGTCGTGCTTGTCATTTGCTTATCTCATTATATAAGTTTGATAGCTTCGTATGTTGTTAATCCATCATTTCAAATTCAAAAAGTAGCTTCTGAATAGAACTTTGTAGCTACTCTAAAGTACTAGTTATGATGCAACTAATCACACAACATTGCTCTATGTCTAGTTTCGATTCAGTATTGTATATAAAACATAACGTTGAGAATAATCAGCACAATTTGAGTTTCTTAACAATGCTTCAAAATTTGAAGCAAAAATTCTTAGTACTCCATCTAGTGTTCTCATTCATATGTAGCTGCTAGATAATTAACAAGTACTACAAAACAGAAAAAGTTAAGAAAGCATCAACACACACTTATGCTGGTCGCTTGCAGATTAAGAATCACAGTACTAGTACACTTGATCGGACAGTACATACTTACTACAATAAAAGTACATAGAAGCATCAATACATAAGTGCTACTATGAATGGACTATCAGTACAACTTAATCTAAACGCAAGTACATCTTAAAATTACACTTACACAAAACTGACAAGAACTAGAACAAAAAGTTTCAGTCCAAGTTACTGCTGGAGTCAAGTACTAGATTCAAACAAACAAAAAAAAGAAAAAACTGACCGCCCAAGGTCAGGCGCAGGCCCTGACGCTGCTAGATACTTGAACTCGAGCCCATAGGCGAATCCCTAGTAATTCGCACAACGCAGGGCCAACCGATCAGGGCCCACAGGTCAAGAGAGAGCGAGCGCCGTGTATAAGCGCCCAGGTAAGTATTCAGAGGAGTTCGACCAGTGAGCCTCGGCTGCGCTTATAAACAGGTTCGGAGGCCCCTCGACTAGCGAGGTGGGACTAAACCCAGAGCGCATGCACACGCCGCACTGCACAGCCGCGCGGACGAGCTAAATGGGCCAGAAAACGGCCCAATAGCCTGAATCGTTTACAAACACCACACCAAATAAGCCCAGTTAAACAAACCAGAGCGCAAGGAAAAAAAATATAAACTACAAGAAAAATGTTCGAAACTGAAAATATATAAACTACAATGAACCTCTAAAAATAAGAGAACTTAATAGCCTATCTGTGAAATGTACATAATTTAAAAAACCGAATTAAATATTACTTTCAAGTTCAACTACTAAAATGCAAAAAGTTCAAACATATAATATTTGTCAATTATGCTAAATATCTTATTACATAAAATCTAACAAGTTCAACTACTAAAAATGCAAAAAGTTCAAACATATAATGTTTGTCAATTATGCTAAATTTCTTATTTACATAAAATCTGACAAGTTCAACTACTAAAATGCAAAAAGTTCAAAATATAATTTATTTGTCAATTATGCTAAATTTCTAATTTATATAAAATCTCACAAGTTCAACTACTAAAATAAAAGAAGTTCTAATAGAATTTATTTGTCAATTCTGCTAAATTTCTAATTTATATAAAATTTGTACACACCTCAATGAACGGTCTGGTCGTAAAATAATCTCAATCCCCACAAGACACCAAAAAAACAAAAAAAAACTTAGTTCAATCATGCATATGACATAAGTACTAAAAAAGCAGGATCAGTTAGGCCACTCACACCACGACGACACCAAATTTCAAAACCGCACGCTGTATGAAATTACATTTCAGTTCACACAGCAGTAAACCATAAGTGCACTAAAATGAGAATACAAAAACTATAAAGGCCTAACTTAGGTAAGTAAAGATGAAAATAAAATAAGTACCAGTTTTGAGCAACAACTCCCGGGGCACTAAAAATGTCTTCAGATAAACTAGTCTATAAAACTTCAGTGGAAAAACAAATACTTAACATCCTTAGGGAAAAACATCACAAAGCATACGTCACCTAAACAGTCCAAAATGCCGTCATCACCACCCCTGAGACGTGCAAGTGGGATTTAGCAGGTCATAAGTATAGCTTGACAAGACAAGTCAGTGCAGCAATAAAACCATTTGAATTGAACGGTTGCTTCTTCAAGGCCACCACCCGTGCCACCCACTGAGCGGTTGCCATAAGGGACTACAAACGGGCACCCCCACGACCACCACACCCATGCCCCCGACGAACCGCCTCCCACACATCCCCGTCGACGCACTGCAAATACCCCATTGTCTTCCACCTCTGCCTCATTCCCAGAAACCACCATTGCCGCTTCAATCTCCATTGCACACAAAACACAAACTTCTCTCTCCCAAGCCCACAGTCACCGCAGGAAGGCGATGGCGGACGAACCATCCGCCAAGAGTCATCATGGCGAGCCGTCGGACAAGAGCAACGACCTCATCGACGTTCACGTCCCCGGTGAGAAGCGCGAGTACACGAGAACCCTCACAGGGGTTGAGCTCCACGGCAAAGAGACACTGGAGATCGTCTGCACCAGCGAACCAGACAAGGCCGACGAGGTGATGAGCAGGCTCAGGATGAAGGGCGGCGGCTTGTATCCGAGCTTCATCGGAGTTGATGTGGAGTTCACCAGGGATGATGAACCTCCACAGATGGCGGCAGTCTTGCAGTTGTGCGTCGAGGAACTCTGCTTGGTTTACCACATCGCAGCAGCCACAAAATGGTAACCCATACTACTGTTCATTCATCTGTTGTACTAGTACTACTCACTAGAAACTTCATTAAACTAGTTTCCCAACTAGATGAACTACTATACTTTGTGAAGTGTATGCACGAGTACATGTTTCTCAACTTACATGCAATTCTGAAACTGTGAAGTGGATTGTTTTACCAGATTAGCATCTGAAAAAATGTTTATAGAATTCTGAACTTGATGCACCAAATTAATTTCTGAAAATGATGTGCTAGCATAGATTCTGATCTTGATGCACTAGTATAGTTATATAGAATTGATGTATTAAAAGATGTTTGGTGAAGTGGTATAGGTCCATATCTTGATGCACATGTTTCTCAAATTAATTCCTGAACTTCATATAGAATTGATGCACAAAGATGTATCAAGCACTGGTATAGGTATTTTATTCAACCAAAAAAGAAAACTAAACTTGAATCAAGCAACACATATATCATTGAATCTGTTAAAATGATTCTTGAATTTGGCGAAGCATTTGGTGAAGCACTCAAGACAGCAAAAAAGAAAAATAACATGGTGTAGTTGAATTTAATTTCAGGACTTTGCGTACTAGTTTTTGGACTACATTCATACATGACTTATACTATATAAGCATCTACCTCATGGATTATCACTTTCAAAAACAAAAAACAGAAGAATTAAATATTCAAAAAAGAACACTAACCTTCAATGTGTGTCTCCCCCCTTGCAGGCCCAAGCGCCTCAAACAGTTCCTGCAGGAGGAGAAATTGTACACGTTTGTTGGTTTCAGCATTAGAGGCGACAAGCGGATGCTGAACAGGTCTGGTTTGGAGATCAACCCCAACAACTTCATCGACATGCAGCGCAAGTGGAAAGATCCACACACCAGCAAATACTTTGACTCCTTGGCCGATGTTGCAGGCGGCGTCATCCACCCATCCTACAAAGGCATGAAGAATAAGATGGACAAGGGAGAACACAAAAAATGGGGGACCAGCTGATGTCTACTACACAACCTTCTTCTTGTAGACGTTGTTGGGCCTCCAAGTGCAGAGGTTTGTAGGACAGTAGCAAATTTCCCTCAAGTGGATGACCTAAGGTTTATCAATCCGTAGGAGGCGTAGGATGAAGATGGTCTCTCTCAAGCAACCCTGCAACCAAATAACAAAGAGTCTCTTGTGTCCCCAACACACCCAATACAATGGTAAATTGTATCGGTGCACTAGTTCGGCGAAGAGATGGTGATACAAGTGGTATATGGATGGTAGATAATAGTTTTTGTAATCTGAAAATATAAAAACAGCAAGGTAACGAATGATAAAAGTGAGCGTAAACGATATTGCAATGCTAGGAAACAAGGCCTAGGGTTCATACTTTCGCTAGTGTAAGTTCCCTCAACAATACTAACATAATTGGATCACATAACTATCCCTCAACATGCAACAAAGAGTCACTCCAAAGTCACTAATAGCGGAGAACGAACGAAGAGATTATGGTAGGGTACGAAACCACCTCAAAGTTATTCTTTCCAATCAATCCATTGGGCTATTCCTATAAGTGTCACAAACAGCCCTAGAGTTCGTACTAGAATAACACCTTAAGACACAAATCAACCAAAACCCTAATGTCACCTAGATACTCCAATGTCACCTCAAGTATCCATGGGCATGATTATATGATATGCATCACACAATCTCAAGTCATCTATTCAAACCAACACATAGAACCTCAAAGAGTGCCCCAAAGTTCTACCGGAGAATCACGACGAAAATGTGTGCCAACCCCTATGCATAGGTTCATGGGCGGAACCCACAAGTTGATCACCAAAACATACATTAAGTGAATCACGTGATATCCCATTGTCACCACGGATACACACGACAAGACATACATCAAGTGTTCTCAAATCTTTAAAGACTCAATCCGATAAGATAACTTCAAGGGGAAAACTCAATTCATTACAAGAGAGTAGAGGGGGAGGAGAAACATAAGATCCAACTATAATAGCAAAGCTCACGATACATCAAGATCGTGCCAAATCAAGAACACGAGAGAGAGAGAGAGATCAAACACATAGCTACTGGTACATACCCTCGGCCCCGAGGGAGAACTACTCCCTCCTCATCATGGAGAGCAACGGGATGATGAAGATGGCCATCGGAGAGGGATTGACCCCTCCGGCAGGGTGCCGGAATGGGTCTAGATTGGTTTTTGGTGGCTACGGAGGCTTCTGGCGGCGGAACTCCCGATCTTATCTCTGTTCTAGAAGTTTTAGGGTACGACGATATATATGGGTGTAGGAAGTACGTCGGAGGAGCCACGGGGGCCCCACGAGGCAGGGGGCACGCCCTAGGGGGTGGGCGCGCCCCCACCCTCGTGGGCAGCCCGTGTCTCCCCCGACGTGCACTCCAAGTTCCCAGGGTTGCTTTTCTTCCAAAAATAACTTCTCCAGTTTTCGTTCCGTTTCGACTCCGTTTGATATTCCTTTTCTTCTAAACACTAAAATAGGCATAAAACAACAAATCTGGGCTGGGCCTCCGGTTAATAGGTTAGACCCAAAAGTAATATAAAAGTGGATAATAAAGCCCAATATTGCCCAAAATAGTAGATAATATAGCATGGGGCAATAAAAAATTATAGATACGTTGGAGACGTATCAAGCATCCCCAAGCTTAATTCCTGCTCATCCTCGAGTAGGTAAATGATAAAAAAGATAATTTTTGATGTGGGATGCTAGTTGGCATAATTTGAATGTAATTCTTTCTACTTGTGATATGAATATTCAGATCCGAAAGATTCAAGACAAAAGTTCATTTTGACATAAAAATAATAATACTTCAAGCATGCTAACTAAGCAATCATGTCTTCTCAAAATAACATGGCCAAAGAAAGTTATCCCTACAAAATCATATAGTCTGGCTATGCTCTATCTTCACCACACAACATATTTAAATCATGCACAACCCCGATGACAAGCCAAGCAATTGTTTCATACTTTTGATGTTCTCAAACTTTTTCAATCTTCACGCAATACATGAGCGTGAGCCATGGACATAGCACTATAGGTGGAATAGAATGGTGGTTGTGGAGAAGACAAAAAGGAGAAGATAGTCTCACATCAACTAGGCGTATCAACAGGCTATGGAGATGCCCATCAATAGATATCAATGTGATGAGTAGGGATCGCCATGCAACGGATGCACTAGAGCTATAAATGTATGAAAGCTCAACAAAAGAAACTAGTGGGTCTGCATCCAACTCGCTTGCTCACGATGACCTAGGGCATTTTGAGGAAGCCCATCATTGGAATATACAAACCAAGTTCTATAATGAAAGATTCCCACTAGTATATGAAAGTGACAACATAGGAGACTCTCTATCATGAAGATCATGGTGCTACTTTGAAGCACAAGTGTGGTAAAAAGATAGTAGCATTGTCCCTTCTCTCTTTTTCTCTCATTTTTTTATTTTTTTATTTGGGCCTTTTCTCTTTTTAGGCCTATTTTCTTCCTTTTTTTATTTGGGCTTCTTTGGCCTCTTTTATTTATTTTTCGTCCGGAGTCTCATCCCGACTTGTGGGGGAATCATAGTCTCCATCATCCTTTCCTCACTGGGACAATGCTCTAATAATGATGATCATCACACTTTTATTTACTTACAACTCAAGAATTACAACTTGATACTTAGAACAAGATATGACTCTATATGAATGCCTCCGGCGGTGTACTGGGATGTGCAATGACTCATGAGTGTCACTACAACAGGAACCCCCTTCAGCAACGTTTAGATGCGTTGTCGTTTGTTCGTATAAGCGTTGCTAAGGTCTACACCAACGAATTCATATGCGTTGTCGTTGGTGGCGTTGCAAGGGTCTACAACAACGTATATAGATCCGTTGGTAATCTGGAGAATAATGTGTTGCAAGGCAACAACAAATCCATGCAATGCTTCTATGCGTTGGTGCTTGCAAAATAGAATAACCTCCATATATAGTCGTTTATAACACTATTGTTCTATGCACTGGTGCTTGCATAATAGAATAACCTCCATATATGATCATTTAAAACAATACTTAGTGTGAATGGCAGTACATGTATACCTTTAGTAGAATGGCAGTACAAGGTATAACTTTAGTAAGATTCGATAGAGTAGAAATGGAAGTCATATATTGATTCAACGGAACAATCTGTTATTACAATGCAAGTATCATCAACTACGAGTACAATACTTTCTTAGAAAAAAAATGAAATTTCTAAGCATTCATAGAACTGTCTTGTTTCTCCTCCAAGTACCAAGAATCATCATACGTTCTCCAAGGATCCAATTAATCATCTAGTATTGAAATTCTCAACCTACAAAGAAAAATCATAATACTATTTAGGCATAAATTCCAAGTGAAGTTTAAAAACATACATACTATACATTGTACTAAGGAACCACATAAATGTCTCAGCCTTAGTTAGTTTTGTGTCACCATTACTTACGTACAACTCATGCTTGGTATGATGTATTAGGAAAAAAACTGAATGCCAATAGCCCAAAAATCATTAACTAATCTACATCACAGAAAACTTTGTAGATACCTGAGAACTACATTGTCACATTGGAATTTCTCAATTCAAAAATAAAATTCTCAGAACCAGTAGAAGAAACAACATGAAAAGAAACAAATCATTAGATTTGGGCTCCTGAGAATTTATATCTAGAGAAGGCAGGATCCAGGGAGTTTACACAAAATTAAAAATAATTTAATGTGGCACTATTTAATTCTTGAGGACCATACCAAGCACTAGAGCTAAATACATATTTATGAAAATGCATGAGGGGTGACCTATGTAATGGCTGAACTATCCGAATAAAAGCAAAGCTGAGTAATGGATGAACATTTTTTTCTCAAAACTAAGAAACACGACCCATGTGCCTTTACTGCCAATGTGACTTTTCATTTAACCCGGAGAATTTGATCTTTGGTCATAGCTCGGCTCCCTAATCACGTATTGTTTGTCATGTCATTTAATAACTGAATATCGATACCTATATGACTCTACAAAATATGGGCCTGGACAAAAATTAAGACCGGAAAAAATAGACATATATTGGCACAATTAACTAACAAAGATTCATTGGACCAGTTAGTGTAAAAATGAAGGATATGGAATAAATAAGAATGCTAGGAGAAGATAAAGAAATGGACACCTTATAGTGGCCTGAACCAGGGGAGAGAGTTTACCAAGTAAGCGAATGGGTTACCCCACTTTTTGTGACCTTGTCATAATTAAGCTGTACATTTCCTTCCATCTGCCCCTGAAGCTGCACGCCATTAAAGCAAGTTAATCCCTTACACAGTCTTATCTGGTGTGCATCTATTGTCAACAATTCAAAACCTGACCTGTAGGACAGTTTGATACCAACATCACGATTACTACAAGTGTTTAGAACTGACTGACTATTAGCTGACATCTTGGCAGGCAAAAATTGCATGGGAAAAATCAAGAGCAGAGATTATTACTGTACGCATTGTACATATTGAGTAATACACTTCAGTCAACAAATTATTGAGTAATATTTGCAATGGAGAGCATAAAAGAGAATCTGATCAAGGGAAGAGATTAGAGAAGAGATGACAAGTAGTTGGTTCAGTTTGCAAGAATTTTAGAACATACAGATTATCTATATTTTTATTTGGGAATGCATATCATCTTTTATCTACTGTATAGGTACTAAGTAGCAGCAAAATCAGCACCAGTAGCAATAGCAACCAGAGGCAGCAGTAATAGCAACTTGCTGTGGTAGCAAACAATCATCGTCACCAAGGGCTGCACTTTCTATCAGAACACTTACACCACACAGACACATGCACAACAGCCAAGCACGCACGCAGCTGCAAGCAAACGGACGCAGGGCCACCAAAGCAAGACTACGTCGGGCACCAAAATAAATCCAAAAGTGTACCATCGCCACTGAAGGCTTTGCGAGCCGCAAGAACCACCCGCACT